CTCCTTGGCTCGGGCAAGTTCCGCCCGAAGATTCTCCATGGCAGCAGCACCATCTGCATCAAGCGCACACATTGTAAGATACCGGCATAAAGCTCCTCTTACCAGGTGCCGCTGGAGGAATTACATACCTTGTGCCTCGTCAAGCCGCTTGTTGACAAGCGCGATGTCGGCATCTGCCACGTCAAGTTGCCGCTTTAGCTCGGCAAATTCATCAGTCCGGCTGGCTACCGGACACTTCGCCACCTACGTATGAAGGTGGCATATTAGACCTGGGATTATGATCCTTTGTGCGCCGTCACTTTTGAAAACGCACAAAGTCTCAGGGGCTACTATCTACACAGGGTGCATCTTATTTATGCGCAACTGTCCAAAAAGGGTACATTATTTCGCGTACCTCAAAACCTGTCAGTAAACTCCTGACGGCCTCGTGCAATCCGCTCTCCGCGGATGAAATCCTCTCAATCACCGTACCCATCAATGCACGGTGCTCCTCTGAGATAGGTGCTCGCCCTAGCAGATCCTTCAGCTCCTCCGACCGCACACCAGATGGTGCCGGACTCGTCCGATGGCCCTTTTCGAAGGCCGGACGCGGAGGGCTTTGGGGGGCCATATGACTACCTTCCGGCCCTGCCAGATTCGGAGAAACCCTCCGCGACGATACCTCAGGGTTGCCCGCCTCGCAAGGCGGTACAGCAGGGGGAGCCGTCCCGCTCTCCATCATTTCCGAAAGAAGATCCCCCGAAGACGAGCACTGCTGAGAAGGGCTAAGGTCTGAGCTACAAGGTAAATTTTTGATTACTTTTCTCAGATATAAAGCAAGGGTTTCTCTCATCTCTTAAAAAGAAAAACTCATCTCTACTTACGGCTCGGTGGAGGGTTGATCCCCTTGAGGGTATAATTTGGCCGAAGCATCCCCCAGCACAGGACCCTCTGGCGAAGATTTCTTCCCCCACTTTGAGGCCATGGTCTCCGGATCTTTAGAGGCGGTCCTCTTCTTCCCCTGAGGAGAGGAATTTTCGATTCCTCCCTTCCAAACAGCCTCCTTCAAGGAGGCCGTAGCTTCCTTGTCCCCTCCCTCGCTTTCCTCCGAAGGCACAACCTCCAACATCCTGACTAGCACGGGACCCGGCGTGGTCTCGGGGAGGGGGGCCGGACACCTGATTAGCTTTGCTTTCGCTATCCACTCCTGTTTAAAGGACAACTCTTTTAAGGGCAATTTTATGATAAATATGCGGATTGCGAGTCCGGGCATGGGGCTACTTACTTGAGTATTTGGGCGGTTGCAGCTCAGACCTGCGTCCTCGGTCAAGTCCGGACACATTGCTTGTGATCCGAAGAACAATTTGTACATCTCCACGGGCGTCGCGCCCATAAAATGTTGGAGAGCTCGTGGTCCCTCCGGATTGAACTCCCACAGGCGGAGGGGGCGACATTTGCAGGGCAGAGCTCGGCGAATCAGCATAACCTGTGTCGCCACGACCAGACTGATATCTCTTTCTAGGAGATCTCGAATGCGGCCTTGCAACAAGGGCACATCCTTGGACGGCCCCCAGTCCAGTCCTTTATTAACCCATGATGCCAGCTGTGGTGGGGGACCCGGGTGAAAGGCAGGTGGCGCCACCCACTTGGGGGCCCTGGGAGCGGTAATATAAAACCACTCTCATCGCCATAAGCTGGACTCCTCTTGAAAAGAGCCCTCGGGCCATGGAGCACCAGCATTCTTGCTTATAAAAGCACTTCCGCACTCCGCGTGCCGTCCCTCGATCATCTTCGGCTCTACTTTGAAGGTCTTGAGCCATAGTCCGAAGTGAGGAGTGATACAGAGGAAGGCTTCACACACGATGATGAATGAGGAAATATGGAGGATGGACTCCGGGGCTAAGTCATGAAATTCCAGCCCATAATAATACATGAGCCCCCTCACGAAGGGATCCGTCGGGAAGCCTAGCCCCCGAAGGAAGTGAGACATGAACACCACACTCTCACCAGGCTTGGGAGTGGGAATGACCTGCCCTTGAGCAGGCAGCCTATGCCAGATTTCGTCGGTCAAGAACCTGGCCTCTCTCAACTTCAGCACGTCCTCCTCCGTGACGGAGGAGGGCATCCATCGGCCTCGAAGGTCGGAACTGGACATTGTCGAAGGTCCAAAGCGCCTGAAATCTGGAGCCTTGGGTGTTGGAACTCGAGGCGAAGGGCGAACTCGTTTGAGATTGAAAGAAAGGAGTAAGGCCTTGGTCTCTTTATAAGAGGTGGAATACTAAGGGCCCTCCCCGTGACCGTTTGGGACTCGCCTTCGATCGAGAAAACATACCAACGGGTACGACTGGGTTACCCACGCCCATATTGATGAGAATCCCGGAATAAGGGGACACGATCTCTGCTTTGACAAGACGTGCCAAGGAAACCGCCTCGCTAAACGCGCTGAGGTGGGACAGTAAAACGATTCGAATAAAGACCTGGCCGTGGTGTGATGCCACGCTATGGAATACGTCAGTAGATTAGATTTGTGTAAATATTATTCTCTCTATGGCAATATGTGGAAACTTATTTTGCAGAGCCGGACACTACCTTTGTGTTCAAAATCTTCTATGAAGTACTTGGAGGAGGAACCCGCCTTGCAATGCCGAAGACAATCTGCGCGCCGGACTCGTCGTCGTTGAAGCCTGGTTCAGGGGCTACTGAGGGAGTCCTGGATTAGGGGGTGTCCGGATAGCCGGACTATACCTTCGGCCGGACTCCTGGACTATGAAGATACAAGATTGAAGACTTCGTCCCATGTCCGGAAGGGACTTTCCTTGGCGTGGAAGGCAAGCTTGGCGATACGGATATGTAGATCTCCTACCATTGTAACCGACTCTGTGTAACCCTAGCCCTCTCCGATGTCTATATAAACCAGAGGGTCTTAGTCCGTAGCAGGAACAACAATCATACCATAGGCTAGCTTCTAGGGTTTAGCCTCTTTGATCTCGTGGTAGATCTACTCTTGTACTACCCATATCATCAATATTAATCAAGCAGGACGTAGGGTTTTACCTCCATCAAGAGGGCCCGAACCTGGGTAAAACATCGTGTCCCCTGCCTCATGTTACCATCTGGCCTAGACGCACAGTTCGGGACCCCCTACCCGAGATCTGCCAGTTTTGACACCGACATTCTTCATTCCCAACTTTGTTTTGTTTCTCTACTCTTGAAATAATATTGTTGGTGGTTTCTATAATGGAAATCCACAAGATGGCTCATTGTTTAAAAAAAGTAGGTTTCCCTATTGCATGTATTTATATTTTCAAACAATAGTTTGCGCAAAAGGAAATGAAAATTAATCTGATACAATGCTAGAGACCCTCTGTAATGTAAACGTTATACAAAGGTTTCCACTCAAGACTGAAGGCTAGAGTAAGAATATCATCTTTGCCATGTACCCCTAAGAGATACTTCTTCCTTGAATTTCTTCCTACATGTGTATATGTTTGGCTGAATTCCTCTGAGAACCCGATCATTCCACAAGTTCAGTAGCAAGTAGTCATTTTGCATATAGAGACTAATAACCGCAGGAACCGTGTGATCATTTGGCTTACAAAATAACTCTCATGCAGCTATCGGTTATTATATTTTACTTGCAAGGATTTTGTCTCTCCAAAGACGTTGATTTATGCTCGTCAATTTCTTCGATAACCCATTTGCGAACTTTATTTTGTGAGAAAAATAGTATAAATAAATATGCTCACATACACGCATGTATACTCAGCCCTATGAACGTAAGAACATACAATCTATCCCTATGAACACCTTCAAGAGAATGAGCCGACAAATCTTGAAATTGACCAATAGTCACCACATGCACCTCATAGTCGATGGGAACATCATCTTTCACTGAACGAACATCGCTAGAAATGATTTAATGGGCAAGGATGATATGAACGAATCGACCACCTAAACCTTACCACTATGGTTCAAGCAATAAGAGCAGTCAAGGTGCCTCTTTTGCACCCTTGAAATTTGAGTCACCAAAATTTCATTCTTTTGCTTTTGTGGTGCTCAGAGGCAAACCTAGACAATGAAGGGCAAAGTACCCAACTGATAAGGGCATCTATGAGAATGTGGACTCTTTACCGAGAGATATTGACTTGGATTAACTTTCTTGCTAGAAAATTGATCAACAAATCCTCTCAAGGTGGTTGGTACATTTTTTTATGAGGATTTTAGTAGGGTTTGAATCAAATAGGAAAAATTTATGCATACCTCCTTAATAATTCAAAGAGCATCACAGGGAAATGTTATTAAAAATCACGTGTCTCGGTAAAAGTATCCAAAGAGCTTGGTTGCAAAATTATTGTGTTCTGAAATGAGTAGTCAAATGAGGGCAACTTCACTTCTGTTAGGGATTGGTTGCACGGCATGGCCAATATCATTGGTACCAATGGCACCGACAACTAGAGGGAGGGGATTGCATCGCTTCCCATGCTTGCGTCGTGGGAGGTTTGGAACTGAGTGTAATGCGAGTGTTTTAGGAAAACTTCGTCCATGTCAGGTGTTAGCAGGTGTAACATTAAAGACGAGGCCCAATCCGTGGGTTATAGCGGATGCAAGAGATTTGAGTTTGATCCCGCCGCAAGAGTGTGTCTTTTGGGAGTCGGTCGCCTTGTAATTATATAGAACCTCCTTCTTTGATGAGATGAGACAAATTTTTTGCCTCCGGTTCGAAAAAGATCCCTACTCCAATGTCATTTTCTTTCTTGAACACCTTAGTCATGTTTTCTCTCCCAAGGTAAAAACCAAGCATAAAAGGTTTCATTTATGCCACTCACAAAGTAAAGGGTGTTTTTCCTAAATTTGCCACAGGACAAAACATGAGGTCCGGGGATAAGATGATCACAAGGGGAAGTGGATCCCCATTCCAAACCCAGCGCACCTATCCCCATTCCGTTCCCCGCCGCGGCACTTGGCGTCGTCCGCCCCGCAGCTCAGCTCCACACGCCCGCCCACTCCCTCCGCCACAAGCGATGGCGACCATCACCACGCAGCTCCGCTCCGCGCTCCTCTCCCCGGCCGCCTCGTCCTCGTCCTCCTCCTCACCGCGCCGCGGCGGCCGGCGCGCGCCCTCCTCCGTCCGCTGCGATGCCTCTCCCCCGGCGGCGTCCGCGTCGGCCTCCCTCGACCCGGACTTCGACAAGAAGGCCTTCCGCCACAACCTCACCCGCAGCGACAACTACAACCGCAAGGGCTTCGGCCACAAGAAGGAGACCCTCGAGCTCATGAGCCAGGAGTACACCAGTAAGCTCTATCTAGCCTCTAGAGACTAGAGCAGTAGCTATTTGCCGTCCGATTCATTCAGAAACGTTCCTAATTGACGGGGAGTGCCTGCAGGCGATGTGATAAAGACGCTCAAGGACAACGGGAACGAGTACACCTGGGGGCCGGTGACCGTGAAGCTGGCGGAGGCCTACGGCTTCTGCTGGGGCGTCGAGCGCGCCGTGCAGATCGCCTACGAGGCGCGCAAGCAGTTCCCCGAGGAGCGCATCTGGATCACCAACGAGATCATCCACAACCCCACGGTCAACAAGGTATAACCAAGTTCGTGTTGCTTGACAATCGCCATGCGCGGCTCGTGGGGTTAAGTGTTTCTGTTCCTGGATGGTTTTTCAGAAGAATCTGATCTTACGTGTATGAGGGGATTAATCACCCACTATCTAATTATTAGGACGCATGTTAATGATAAAGGTGTTCATACTGAACAATCGCCACCAGGTTCCTTTGTGCTGTAGCTACTCGGTCACTTGAACAATTAGTTTGTGGTTTCGGTATTCATGTAGTGTCAGTAGAGCAAGAGAAAAGAAAAATAACCGTAACATGCCTAGCTGTGTTCATTTCGTGTCATGTCTGTCTAATGGCTGTGGATTTGACAGAATTAAATTCCTGTTTCTTCGTCTGATTGTTCATGCAGAAATTGGAGGACATGGGTGTCAAAGATATTCCTGTTAACGCTGGTATTAAGGATTTTGATGTTATTGAACAAGGCGATGTTGTTGTCTTGCCTGCATTTGGAGCTGCTGTGGATGAGATGTACACATTAAATGAGAAGAACGTGCAAATTGTTGATACGACATGCCCTTGGGTTTCAAAGGTACATTTTGCATTTTAATACGTGCCTTGCTCTTTTGTATGATGTTGTTCTGTTCTCGAGTGTCACAACATTTATCAGGCTAACCAACCGTGTAATTATAATATAGGTGTGGAACATGGTTGAGAAGCATAAGAAGGGCGACTATACTTCTATTATTCACGGAAAATATGCCCATGAAGAGACTGTTGCCACTGCTTCTTTTGCAGGGAAGTACATTATTGTGAAGAATATGGTCGAGGTACGTTTGATGCATTTATATCTTTCTGTTGTTTAACGCTTGATGCTAAATCCACTCCGTGGTTTGAGATAACAAAGTATTATCAAATGAAACAGGCAACATATGTATGTGATTATATACTTGGTGGCCAACTTGATGGGTCTAGCTCAACTAGAGAGGAGTTCCTTGAGGTATAGATTCTTCTCAAATTACCCTTTACTGCCATGTTGGAAAGAAATGATGATGCCTAATGGAACTGTTTGGTCCACAATCGCAGAAATTCAAAAAGGCTGTTTCTCCAGGATTCGATCCTGATGTTGACTTGGAAAAGGTGGGCATTGCAAATCAAACAACAATGCTTAAAGGAGAAACTGAACAAATTGGTGCGTTTTACTAAGAGGTTCATTATGGCTGTGTGATTTTGCACAGTACAGATTTGCTACTACTTCCAGTTTTAACCAAAATGCTTTATAATTAACAGGAAAACTTGTTGAGAAGACTATGATGCGTAAGTATGGAGTCGAGAATGCCAATGAACACTTTGTTGCATTCAACACTATTTGTGATGCCACACAGGTACATTTTCTTTTAAGCATGTACTTTCATTTTATGGAGATTGTGCACTAGATGACTACATGTTATCATTGACCTGTACCACCAACTACTCTGTCAATGCTACACGTGTGATAGATTCAGTGAGAGCATAGGGGCAATATTGTATTTTGTCATTTTTATCTTTTGGGTGGAACTAAAACATAGATCATATATAGTTGTAGTAAAGGGAAACATAGTAGTATTTTACTTTGTTTTTAGTGTCTTAAAAACATTTACGTAGGAGTAAGGGCATAGAGTCGTATCTTCACTTGAACATATATATACTGATGACACACTTCAACTTCATATCTCAGGAAAGACAGGATGCGATGTATCACCTAGTGAAGGAAAAGGTTGACCTTATTCTGGTTATTGGAGGGTGGAACTCCAGTAATACCTCTCATTTGCAAGAAATTGGAGAACTCAGTGGAATTCCGTCCTACTGGATTGACAGTGAACAAAGGATTGGACCAGGAAACAGGATTAGCTACAAGCTAAATGTACTTTCTAATACCCTGATTAATATTCATTTCTCATTGAGAGTAAACTATTATATTTGAAAACTGGTAGTGAATCTTGCTGAGAGAAGAGGTGCTGTACTTACAGATGGAAGAATGTAACCTTTTTAACTGAAATTTGAACTGTTTGACAGCACGGTGAGCTTATTGAGGCAGAAAACTGGCTACCAGAAGGGCCTATCACAATTGGAGTTACTTCTGGTGCCTCAACCCCGGACAAGGTAATGTAATTCACCCGGTTGAGGTGCTTCTTTTGTACATAATTTACACTGGTGTACAATATATTGGTGCACATCAAATAAACTGAAAACCGCATAACCATGATGCTTTCTTCTTTTGCAGGTTGTTGAGGATACGCTACACAAGGTGTTTGACATTAAGCGTCAAGAAGTTTTGCAGGTTGCATAGATTTTCAGCAAAATTGGCCAGGGGATAATAATAGTTGATGGCCTGGCAAAGGTTAGTAGAACAATTGTGCGACCTATCGTTGTACAGTAGCTAAGAATGTAATGCTTTAGGCACATACTTTTACGAGGATATCTGTGCTGGGATACATATATATGTTGTAATCACTTGTACCACGAACAGTAGTACACTTGTATCAGCTGCTATAACCCCTGGCCCCTTGAAAAATCGTTTTCATAGGCTGGTTACATAGATATCAACCACTGGGTTTGTTGCTGGATAGGGCTCAAATGCAGGACTCCCTGTATGTAGCAAGTGCAAGAAATGCAGGGTTTCCTTTGTATATTAGGGCGCAAGTCCAATTCCCATTCTGATATGTTCATGTGTCATCTGTTGTAATTGAATTTAACTTTTCTCCGTATTCACTTTCTGTGTTTGGTATGTTACTTACAGAGTACATAGTTTTTCTTCTTCTTTGCAGAGTACATAGATTACCCTGTCACTTATCCTGTGTTCATGTCAGCGTTGTTATACCAAAACTTTTATATAGCTTAATGTACGATGAGCCATGCGCTCTACTCACGAGCACACGAGCACCTTGTAAATTTGTAGGTGCAAAAGGAATAAAACCAGAAATATCACCCTATGTTTTCATAGGCTGATTAGGAAATTGCTAATGGAGCTCGAGCTCCATGGAGCTTGAAATTTGAAAATTTTAAAAATCAAATGTTTAGGTTCCAAAAAGCTCTGAAAAAATTATGTATATACCTATGGATCTATACTACTTGCCTGTAAAGTTTCATGGCAAAATACATATGCTAGCTACACGAAATTAGCCAAATCATGTATTTCTACTTTTCTAGCATATGTACTATTCAGTTTTTTTGGTACAACTCGCATCAAAACGTATTTTTTTAAACACAATACAGACGCTAACGAACACGTACATATACTCATTCTTATGAATGCGCACACCACTATCTCCCGTTAAACGAATATTTTGCCTTTATAAGACACAAAAAAGTTTAATCCTTGGTTGGTTGGAGATACACTGCCCTCCTAATCACCCAACCATAAGTTGGTTCTCACATCAAAACATATTTCGTAATAAAATTTATACACATAGTATATTTATTTTCTGATTTTTTAAACTTGAAAAGTTGATTTTTGAATTGTTGAAAATTTCAGACTCCATGGAGCCCGAGAGCTAAAAAGCCTCACTCCACTGATTACATGGATATTAACCACTGAGTTTATTGTTGGATAGAGCTCGAATGCATGATTCCCTGTATATAGCAAGTGCAGGAAGTGCAGGGGTTCCTGTTAGAGTTGTGTCGAATATTATGTATAAGTTAGATTACAGTTGGACTCTGAGTAGTATTGTGTTAGGATATGGAGCCGTGTCTTAGTAGGACACTTGTATCCTAAGCCTCTCATATATAGTGAATGTAGACAGACGATGTATCCTAAGCCTCTCATATATAGTGAATGTAGACAGACGATGTATCCTATGTCAACATAATAGCACAGGCGCGCAAGGAGCAGCTAGTGGCGTGTGCTGGCGCTCGGGTGACCGGTGTGCGGTATTGTGACGGTATCACAGGGAGGAGCGCCCGTACTCATGCCCCAGAATGTAGCCATGATGGTGAACTTCGTTAACAAATCTCGGTGTCGTGCCTCGTGTGATTGCTTGGTCTTTGAATGATCGACTACATGCTTCGGATTTATTCTAACAGTTCCTGTGTAGTATGTGAAGTGTACAAATATTAACCACTAAATTTATTTGCAGGTGCATGATTCATGCGATCCTTTGTTCTACGTAATTGAATTTCACTTTGCTCTGTATCTATTTTCTGTTTGGCATGTTCCATTCATGTATTACTACGTCACCTAGACCTTATGGCCGCTTGTGCCAGATGACAACGCGATTGAAATTTAAAATCTCGCTATGGTGGAATATTAACTGCAACATCATGTTACTGTAGCATAGAGATTTTCTATTGTCTCGACACATTTTGAAAACTTGAACTATTTTTGGGAAAATCTGAAAAAAATAAAATTCTGAAATAGTTTCTGAATTACCCTAGCAAAATTTACAATTATGAACAGTTTTTGAACAACAAGAACAAATTTTAAACATGAATTTAATTTTAAATTATGCTTTTTTAAAAAGTAAACAAAATTTGAAGAAGTAAACAATTGTCTAAATCATGAATGTTTTTTCAAACTGTGAACAAATATTTGAGATTCCTAACAATATTTTAATTCTTTAAATAAAATTCCAAGTTTTTTTGAAAAATGTGAATAATTTTTAATTTCCAAACAATGTCTAAAAACACAAATTTTCTAAATTCCCGAACATTTATTGAAAAATAGACATTTTTAGAAACACTAACCAATTTGAAATTCTGAACATTTTTCCAAAGAAGGGATTTATTTCAAATTATGATCATTTTTTGAAAAAGTTCAATTAATAAAAATGAAGATAGAAAAGAGAAGGAAAGAATAAAAAACAAATTGAAAAATAATAATTAAAGCGGAAACAAAAACTAAAAGAAAAAGAAAAAGCCCAGAAAACCATTAAATTAACCGGAGATAAAATAAAAATGAATAAACCCAGCCCTGAATCGGTTGGCAACCTTCTAGAAGGTTTCCAAAACCGGGATATATAAAACGCGAGATGGTCCGACCCAATTATTTGGTCCGGTCGCTCGGTTTGGGTGTTTGCACGACAACTTACACAATAAGGTTTTCCCCTATGTCCAGCGCAACGACTATTTATCCCATTAAAAGCATCTCTAGCAGACCTTTTATATCGCGGATCTTTATAATGCGTTTATAGTTCGCGAAAAACGTGTTTTGTGGGCTGGTAGCTCCGCTATGCGGGGTCTGTTCGGCCGCAGTCCGCGCCACCCCGCAAAACACATGATTTTTTTCTGAATTTGACACATATGTCACATATTACACATAATTATGAATTTAATATAAGGTAAAATGTGAATATTATAATACAACAATCATCCAAATTATAGTAAGTATTCAAATCACCGAATTAAACTAATAATTCAATACAAGAGTTGTACCGAATAAAACAATGATACAAATCACACATGAATTAAATGAATTAAATGTAAGAAAAGCAGGTTTTACCGCCCATGCTTTTGTCAATGATGCTCAATGAGATCCTCCTGAAGCTGATAGTGGGTGTTTGCGTCTTCATTCTACCAGTATGCTTGAATGAATGTGTGCATGCGGCCAGGGTCTCTAGTTGGCTTCACACGGCTACCGACATTGTCGTAGAAGAACTCCAAGTTCATGTCCCTCTCTTCGATGATCATGCCCCTCTCCTTTGAGTAAAAAACCGAGAATTGGCCTCGCAAGCTTGCACTATTTTTACGAAGAGGGATCGGCGCATTCGATACCTTCTCCGGAAAAGGTGCGGCGGATATATAGGATTGTCCGCGAAGTAGTCTTGCATCAACAATATGTTCCCGAGATGGCGGTTGCGAGGGATGCAAAGATGACCGACGGTCGATCCTCGCCGTCCCTTGCGGTTCCGATCCTCGAGCTCCTTCACGGCGAGGACCGCCACCACCATCTCCTATCGATGGCACTCGAGCAGCGGCTCTATGTCCGAGTCGTCGGACGAGGACGAATCCTTTAGCAAAAATTCCTCGCAAGGGCTCAAATCAATCTACAGATCGCACCTGAGCTCGCATGAACAAAAATTCATCTATAAATCGTCCGATACGTCGAACTAGAAGGGGCGCAAAAGGGGACTCATCGACGGAGGTCAATACGGGGCGGCGGCTACCCGGGGGTGGCTCGGCGAATCTAGGGTGGGCGGCGACTCGGCGGATCCGGGGCGCCGATGCAGCGACGCGGTGGACCCGGGTCTAGGGCGGCCCGGCAGTGTGATTCCGTCAGTGGAATGGCCGGAATCGAAGGCGGCGGGTGTGACGCCCTCGATTCAATCGTACACTAATCATACACACAAAATGTGTACGATCAAGATCAAGGACTCATGAAAGATATCACAACACAACTCTAGACACAAATTAAATTAATACAAGCTTTATATTACAAGCCAGGGGCCTCGAGGGCTCGAATACATAAGCTCGAAAACACAAGAGTCAGCGGAAGCAACAATATCTGAGTACAGACATGAGTTAGACAAGTGCCTTAAGAAGGCTAGCACAAAAGCATCTACGATCGAAAAGGCAAGGCCTCCTGCCTGGGAGCCTCCTAACTACTCCTGGTCATCCGCGGTCTCCGTCACGTGGTAGTAGGCACCCTCGGGGTAGTAGCAGTCGTCAAAGGTGTCATCTGGCTCCTGGACTCCGTCATCTGGTTGCGTCATCCGAGAAGAATGGAAAAGGGGAAAAAGAGGGAGCAAAGCAACCGTGAGTACTCATCCAAAGTACTCGCAAGCAAGGATCTACACTACAGATGCAACATTATCAAAGGAAGACTGTATATGTGGACTGGACTGCAGAAATGCCAGAATAGAGAGAAGGCCTAGTCCTATCGAAGACTAGCATCTTCTGGAAACCATCATCTTGCAGCAAACAGGAGGGAATAGAGTAGCATAAAGTAAAGTAGTAGTAGTGTTATCAACCTCGGCCAAAGATCCTTTCTCGACTCCCTGCGAGAAAGAAATCCCAGAGCCGTACTATCCAATTATCATCACAATCCAATTCTCATCACCATCCAATTCTCATCACAAGTATCCAGTTCTAGTTGTATCGATCGGGATACAACTCCAAGTGTCCGTTACCGTAGGACAGGCTATCGATAGATGTTTTCTTCCCTGCAGGGGTGCACCAACTTACCCACCACGCTCGATTAACTCCGGCCGGACACACTTTCCTGGGTCATGCCAGGCCTCGGCTAAACAATACGCCGCAACCCGACCTAGGCTTAATAGAGAGGCCAGCACGCCGGACTAAACCTATGCCCCCAGGGGTCATGGGCCATCTCCCCGGGAACTCCTGCACGTTGCG